CTTGTCATGAACCGCCTTGGTCCTTTCTTTGTAGATCTTGGCAGTCTCACAAGCTTCCAGTCTTAACTCATCAAGCTCATGGAGTTGCACCAACCTTCTCTCTTGTTCCTTCTTGAGACTGAAGTTCACTTGCTTCACAGCCCAAAGTGCTCTGTGCTCTAACTCCACAGGGTGGTGACAAGCCTTACCATAGAGGAGGTTGAAAGGTGTAGTACCAATGGGAGTCTTGAAAGCTGTTCTATACGCCCAAAGAGCGTCATCAAGCTTGCTTGCCCAATCCTTTCTAGTTACTCCCGCGGTTCTCTCTAGAATAGTCTCGATTTGCCTATTTGAAACCTCCACTTGGCCACTTGTTTGAGGGTGATAAGGCGTAGCTACCTTGTGTTTAGCCCCATACTTCTTCAAGAGACCCTCAAAGACTTTGTTGATGAAGTGGCTGCCCCCATCACTGATCACTATCTTAGGAACTCAAAACCTTAGAAAGATGATGGTCTTGAAGAGCTTGACAACCACCTTTGAATCATTAGTTGGGGAAGCTATAGCCTCAACCCACTTAGACACATAGTCTACAGCCACCAGGATATATTTTTTGCCGTATGAAGATGGGAATCGACCCATGAAATCAATCCCCCAAGCATCAAACACTTCCATCTCAAAGATTGGTACCTGCGGCATCTCATTCCTATTTGTGATGTTCCCTGACCCTTGGCAAGCTTCACAAGCTTTTACAAATTCATGAGCATCCTTGAAGAGTGTAGGCCACCAAAACTCGGCTTGTAGAACCTTTGTAGCAGTCTTGAACGATGCAAAGTGCCCTCTATAAGACAAACCGTGGCAATGAAGAAGAATGTATTTTGCTTCTTCTCTTGAGACACACCTCCGGTATAAGCAGTCTACTCCCCTCTTGTACAGATAGGGCTCATCTCAAAAGTAATGGGAGATGTCTCTCATGAATTTCTTCTTATGGTAAGAGTCAAGGTGAGTAGGTTCTTCACCGCAAGCCAAGAAGTTGACAATGTCCGCATACCAAGGTAAATCTTCTTCCTTCAAACTCAAGACATCTTCAAGCTTTTCCTCCAGCTTTGCACAAACCACTGTGCTGACCATCATAAGCTGCTCTTCAGGGAGTGAGTCATCCAAAGGTTAGACATCATTCACTGTCATCCTTGAAAGATGATCAGCTACACCATTCTCAATCCCCTTCTTATCCTTGATCTCCATATCAAACTCTTGTAAAAGAAGGATCTATCTCAAGAGTCTTGGCTTGGTGTCTTTCTTGGAGTATATGTACCTCAAGTCGGCGTGATCAGTGTAAACAATGACCTTAGAACTCACCAAGTAGGACCTAAACTTCTCAAAAACAAAGACTACGGCCAATAGCTCTTTCTCGGTGGTAGCATGTTTCACTTGCGAGTCATCCAAGGTACGGCTGTAATAGTAGATTACATGCAGCCTCTTGTCTTTCCTCTGACCCAAAACAGCACCCACGGCGTAGTCACTCGCGTCGCACATTATCTCAAACGGCAGGTCCCAATCTGGAGCTTGAACTATATGCGCGGTGATCAAAGCTTCCTTGATGGTCTTGAAGGCTTGAAGACACTCATCATCAAACACGAACTCGGCTTCCTTGCACAGCAGCCTTGTAAGAGGACGAGCAATCTTGGAGAAATCCTTGATAAACCTTCTGTAGAAGCCAGCGTGCCCCAAGAAGCTCCTTATCCCTTTCACATTAGTCGGCGGCTCTAAGCTCATCATGACCTCTATCTTTGCTTTGTCAACCTCAATCCCTTGCTCAGAGATCTTGTGCCCAAGTACAATGCCTTCCTTCACCATAAAGTGATATTTTTCCTAATTCAGCACCAAGTTTGTCTCCTCACATCTCTTGAGAACCGTGCAAAGATTAGACAAGCAACCACCAAACTAAGAACCATAGACAGAAAAATCATCCATGAAAACTTCTACCATTTCCTCGATGAGGTCAGAGAAGATAGACATCATGCACCTTTGAAAGGTTGCTGGTGCATTACATAACCCAAAAGGCATCCTTCGATATGCGAAGGTACCATAAGGGCATGTGAAAGTTGTCTTCTCTTGGTCATTATGATGAATGGGTATTTGAAAGAAACCACTATAGCCATCAAGAAAACAGTAATATGGGTGATTGGCTAATCTTTCTAGCATTTGATCAATAAAGGGAAGAGGAAAATGATCTTTTCTAGTGGCTGAGTTGAGTTTCCTATAATCAGTACACATTCTATGTCCAGTTATTGTTCTTGTAGGAATCAACTCATCTTTTTCATTTTTTATAACCGTGATACCCCCTTTATTTGGTACCACATGGACCGGAGAGACCCATGTGCTATCACTGATAGGGTATATCACGTCAGCTTCTAAAAGTTTTAAGATTTCTTTCTTAACTACTTCTTTCAATTTCGGGTTTAAGCGTCTTTGATGTTCAATGGAAGAAGTATTTTCATTATCTAAGTAAATCTTGTGAGTACAAAGCATTGGTGAAAGACCCTTGATGTCACTGAGAGAGTAACCAATGGCCTTCCTATACTTTCTCAACTCCTAAGGAGTGAGTTTAACTCATCATCACTCATATTTTCATTCACAATGACAGGATAAGTGTCATTTGGTCCCAAGAAAGCGTACCTTAGCCCATTTGGGAGCTCTTTTAGGTCCACATTTGGGGCTAGCAGCTGGCTTCAGTCCTCATTGTGGCTTGTGTTGATGTTGACATCCTCATTCGCCTCTTTTGAACCCGAGTAATGAGCTTTCACGCTGCAATCTTGAACCGTTGCTACCACTGAGATCGAGCCAGTCAGTCGATCTTCCTCTCGATTTAGGCTGGATCGATTGCACTCTCTCGATTCACTTGCTCGATTTGATATGGATCGAGCAGGAGATCCATTGGCTGAGTCGTTCTCTGAACAGATCGAGTTGTCTCTTTCGATTGTCTCATCGATTTCCTTCCTGGATCGAGTGATCTGATCGATCTCTAAGTCGATCTCATGGCACTCGCCTTCATCTTCTTTCATAACCTTGCGAGAATCAAGGATATGAACATACTCCTGGGTTTGCTCGCTCAAGAAACCATACTCTCCACACTCCTTAGTCAAAGCCAGCTGTAAATGATCCTCTTGTGCCAACTCTTCAAGCAACTCATCAGCTAATTCATCCAAAGTTTCAATGTAGAACACTTGCCCATCAATCGTTGGCTTCTTCAAGACTTCATTGATGTCAAAGTTTAGCTTGATGTCCTTGCCAAGGTGCAGAGAGATCTTCCCATTCTTCACGTCTATGATGGCTCCAGCAGTTGTTAGAAAGGGTCTACCAAGGATTAGAGGATCCTTTGGTTCTTCATCCATTTCTAGAACTACAAATCTGTTGGCACATTCACATCACTGATCCTCACGGGTAGGTCTTCAAGCACGCCTACAGGGAGCCTTATACTTCTGTCAGCCAGCACGAGAGAGATTCTGCACTCCTTAAACTTGGTAAAGCCTAGCTTTTTGGAAATAGAGTGAGGCATAAGATTAATGCTTGCTCCTAAATCACACAAGCAACTTTCAAATTTCAAAGGGCCTAGAGCACAAGGGATAGTGAATGATCCTGGATCTCCAAGCTTCTTTGAAACTATCTCCTTGTGGATGATTGCACTGCATTCTTCACTCAACACCAAAACTTCTTCACTCTCTTTGTTTCTCTTAGCAAGAGTATCCTTGAAGAACTTGGCGCATTTTGGCATCATAGCTAAGCAATCAACTAAAGGCAGTTTGATCTCAACATCCCTTATGTGCTTCTCAACTAAGGCCTTATGCTTCTCAAGCAGCTGCTTCTTGAAACGTCCAGGGAAGGGAAGCTTTGGTTTGTAGGGTTGAGGCACGAAAGCTTCTTTATCTTTGCTAATTTCCTCTACTTTCTTCTCTAAAGCTGCTTCCTTGCCTTTCCTTGGCCTTTCAATCCAAACATTGTCAAATGTGATATCTTCATCATCTGAAAGCTTACTCTCCCCCTCTTGAACCACAATGTCCTCATTGTCTTTAGTTAGAGAGCGTGGTGGCAGCTCTTTCCCACTTCTCAAGGTAATCGCGTTTGCATACTCTTTAGGGTTTTGCTCACACTTGCCGGGTAAGCTACCTTCACCGCTTGAACTTGCCATTCCCTTCTCTAGCTGGCGAATCTTGTTGTTCAGATTGGTGTTTTGTGTAGATATCTCAGTCAGAGAAGATTCTGGTCTCTTGTTCATATCAAAAAACTTCTGATTTGTAGAAGCTTGACCTTGAAGCAATTGTTGAAACATAGCTTGTATAGGGTCTTGAGGTGGAGGTTGAACTTGTTGCTGCTGAGGCATGAAACCAGGAGGGTAGCTGTTGTTCCCTTGCTGTTGCTGGCCTTGGAAGTTCCCTTGTCTTTGCCCTTGGTATCCACTTTTTTGTTTAAAGCCACCTTTGTTATAAGGAACAAATGGTTTTCCTTGTTGTGGAGGGTACACTTGATCTTTAGGGTCCTCCACATTGTTAGTTCTGTAAGAGAGGTTGTTGTTGCCTTGATAGCCTTGAGAATAGCCCTGTGGCTTGTTGTAGTTTTGGCCTCCAACCCAATTCGCTTCCTCTTGGCTCAGCTCTAACTCATCAAGAACATCCGCAGCTTCTCCTACAAAGTGAAGTTGCTTTTGATTTGCAAGTACCAGCTTGTCTATCTTCTCATGGAGGGACTTCATCTCTTTCTTGTGAGCTTCAAGATCATATCCTCGTGGTGCTCTATCATAGTCCTCACTGTAGTTGCCATCACTCAAAGCCAAGTTCTCAATAAGCTCCATTCTCTCTTCTACATTTTGGCCAAGAAAGTTGTCTTTACTCGCCGTGTCTAGAAGCATGCGAATCTTGGGAAGTGCTCCTCTATAGATTGTGCTCATATTACGAGATATATATCATATTACGAGATAAACCTAAAAGAGCATGTGTAGTTCAAACATAAGAAAAAGGTATATATACTTGTTTTGGGCTATGAAATATTTCAATGAATGGATACACGCTTTTCTGGCGAGTTATGCAGAATCCGGGATACTTGGGGCACTCAATCTGAAACAATCCAAACGCAACAGTCACTACTTAATGGTTTTAGAAAGTTATCCATGATCCCATCTATCTTATACATTGTATTGGAGGAACTCACACGCATAAATTTGATGGTGGGATAGAACTCAACAGCAGCTTCCTCGAGCATCCGATCAAGATGTTGTGTGTAATAACTTCTGTTTTTACAGAATTGAGACGCATATGAGTTAGAATATAGCAGCAAAGGAGCGTAACTTAAGAGGGAAGTTTAAGTTACAGTATGGTGAATGCGACAACCACGGGATAGCCCTGGTGAAGGAGTTGGACTCTCTCTCTCTCTCTGATGTAAAATGGAGAACACGTGATGGCCCGAGATCCTTAGGGTAACCACTGTAGTATCTACATTTCAACACAAAAAATAAACCCGACTTCATGATTGTTTGTGCCTATGGTATATCTCGCAGGTTATATAATTAAATGAGACAGCGATTCAAAACTCAAAGTCATTACTTGCAAGTCGAGCGAAGCTGGAGAAACATTTTATTGAGAAATGATGTATCTTCCATCTGAGGACACCAGATGTATGAGACTAAGTTAATTATTTTGCTATTCAACTTTGCTTATAAAGTGAAAATAGACCAATACACAAGAAGATTTACATAACAGGCCAAAATTTTAATGTCTGATAAAGAATTTATAGCTGCTTGGACCTCGTATGTATCCCTTAGGCTAGGCCTGTAGCAACCTGTCCAAATCCACCTGTCAATGGCCAAGGCACCTGAAAAAAAAAAGCAAAAGGGAACTCGAAAACATCATTAGTCAGAAACCAGCGACTCAATCTTCACTGTCTCCATGATGTTGTTATTTCTGCTCCTTTTCTTGTCTGCCTCTGAGCCGTTTTCTTGCTCGGTTACTTTGGCTTTTGCACTTCCATATACAAAACTACACACCACAACCTACAAAACCCACGATGCAAGTTTCAGTTTTTAAAATCAAGAATAGAGAAAGCCATTCAAACAAGATCTCTACAACATAGAGCCAAAGCTTATATTTCTCCGAGGTTTAAGTTTCAGTGACAGCAACTGCAACTCTAAATATATTAGTGAATTGGTTAATACTAAACATCGACAGAAATTTAAAACCTATGCAGTACCGCATGTTCGGCTTTTTAGCCCACCTTCTTCATTCACCAGGTAAGATCCTCCTAAGCTTAGTATCTCAAAATTCCCCTATACATCAGCAACAAAAAGAATGAGTAAGGACTTTGCTTGAGAGAAAACAAGAGAGAAAATAAGTGAATCTGAGAAAAGGTTGGACCTGAAAAGATAGATTAGGCAATGAGGTTCCGGTCTGACATAGCGTCACCGAAGAAACCATTCCGGTTCTTGACATTATACAAAGGGCTTTTGGTCTTTGCAGTGAAAATGGACTTTTTTTAACAAAAGCTCAAACTCATAGATAATAAACAACAGGATCACCCAAATGATATCGGTAATTGAGAAACAAACACAAACAGAGAGAGAATCAAAGACCACTCTCGACTCTCAAACAACTACACCCATGATCTAAAATCGTGTTACAACTGATTCTATCCTTAACAAATTTGATGCTGTGGCAATCGGATTTGTCGAACTCTTATCACAACGTCTAATCAAATCAAATTTATGAGTGATGAAATGCCTGGTCTATTACCTTATTATCTCTTGGATGTGAAACAGCAGTTTCAGATAAAAGCCTTTCACTTCCTCTCTAGTAATTGAACTTCCAGAGAAAGAGGAGATCATCCATCACAAATTAAAGAATTAAGCAGAAATAGTCGATGCCCCCTCCAAAATGGAAGTGGTTCATCTCTGTAAGCGTTTTATCGACATAGTCAAAACAACCACAAGGATTAATGCTTTATTTAAACGACATTCTATCGACATAGTCAAAACAACCACACGTTCCCAAGCCTGTCTTAAATATATTTATGATTTTTATAATATTAAGAAGGATTATCTGAATAAAAAACTTTCATAAATCGTAGAAAATCATTTATTCAAATAAAGTATAAATACATTTAGAAAATGATCATTTATATCTATGAAGGCTTTTCTAAAATATTAATACGTATTTCTAAAAGGCAAAATCGGAAAGAACAAATGAAAAATGGTAAAACTGACAAAATTTTAGATTCCCTGTTATTTTTGTTCCGAAAACTTGATTTAGAATTACCCTACAAGTTATCTAGCTTTCTAACTAGTCATACACAAAAAGGTAGTTTTTCTTGGACAAAAGTGATTTTGTCAGCAAAATTTGAGTGTGATATGATTATTTGTTATTTTTCATTAAATGTACAAAATTTCAATGGCTTTCACAAAAAAAAAAAAAAAATTCAATGTGCTACGCTTTCTTCCCTAACACATTTAGATAGACAGAGAGACGAAAGCAAGACATGTAAAAAAAGAGAGATCGAGCTCTTGATGTTCAAAGTTGGAGTAAGGGAGGAGCCTCGCCAAATTTGAGAACATAAACAGCCTGGTGAATTGATTTCATCTGCAATATAAACCACAATTTCTCAATTAACTTTTCACTACGTTTTCGATTAGTGATAAATATTCTTGAATAAATATAAGAAATTGTTAGATAACTCTCACAAGTTCTAATCCATACCCCACTATTTGCTATAATTCACATGCCAGTAATCAATAACATAATACTTATCTACCAAGTGGCTACTCCAAAAATACTCTAATTTCATTACAGAATTGCATCAAACGTAATGTATAGAGACCTAATAACAGTTGCTAAATGAGGATGTTGCTACTAAAACATCAAATCAAACGTGAAAGGGATTTAGAACCTTGAACAAGGAGTATGTGAACCATATCAGGAGAGATCCAATTCAAATGATCGCACGATGTCCTAAACTCACTGTTTAGTAACAAACCCTAAGGGTTAATCTGTAAATAAAAGGGAAAAGATGAATCAGTTACAGCAATATATATTTGCATTCCGTAGGTTTGGTATAACAAAAAATTTGACTGAATATTCAATATACCTTGTCACGCCATAAATATTCATGAGCCATTGAGGCTTTTTTATAACCACAATGTGCCCAATCATCAATCCGAAAATGATTCCAGGTGATAAGCCAATGGCAGCAGCAGTCCAGCTTAATACTCTTTTATCATCTTCTTTTTCCTTTGATTCTGGTTTTTGCGATATCTCTGCATCTATGTCTCCGCATTTTTTACTGAGAGGACGACCACAAAGTCCAAGGTTATTTTTCAAAAAACGATGCATCTCGTGTCTGAAACTATATCCCTTGAGGTATCAGACCTACGAGTTGGTTGTGAGAAACCGTAACATTAGACAGACTTGTGATGTCCCCCAGAGCAGGTGGAATATGGCCTGAAAGCTTGTTATGTGATAAGTCTAGTGACTCGAGCTCAATCAGATTCGCCAAAGATGAAGGGATGTTGCCACTAAAATCATTGCTTGAAAGATTGAGCACAATAAGATTCTTCAATAGACCAATGGATTCAGGGATCTCTCCATGGAGTCTATTCACTGAAATATCAATAGCGGTTAAGATTGTAGCGATCCTAGTGTACTTCATCTCTACTCCTTTGTTCATCAAAACTAATTACTCTTGGTAACAGAAATTTTCTCCAATGTACTTCAGTTCTGAACGATCTCCCTCTAAGGACATGGCGCTCCAGTAGATGAAGAAATCAGAAGGTAAGGTTCCACTGAAGGAATTATATGATATGTCAATGATTCGCAACTGAGGAAATGAAGAAACATTGGGATGATACTGTAATGAGCCTTGAAACTCATTATCGTTGAGGACCAATTCTTGTAACTTTTACAATGATTCCAACCAGAATAGAAAAGTATCGTTGATTCTATTGTTTTCCACGTTTAGAACCTCTAAAGAAGAACACTTAGACAAAGATCTCGGATGTTTACCCACCAATTGGTTATAACCAGCATGGAGTGACCTAAGATTGCTGCGACCGAACAATATTGGTCCGTGGAATGAATTGGAGGAATGACAAGAATGTGCAGCTCCGGCAGAGAACTCAACCAAAACAGAAACGTGTCATTAATTATGTTGCTTTCTACATTAAGATATCCATGAGTAGAGAGACGGATAAAGGATATTGGAAGCTTTCCCACCAGTTTGTTATGACCAACGTTAAGCAACCTTAGAGTGTTCTTGGGATTTCCCAAACAACGTGGGATTGAACCATTGAAGTTGTTAGAGAGCGCAAGGTGTATATGAAAAAGAGAATCTTTCCACTGAAATTGTTGGAGGAGCCATACAAGTACTTCATTGATGGTTTTAGTAAAGTCGATTTCCTCAATCTTTCAAAACCGGTGAATGTGTTGTTGGAAAGATACACCTGCTGAAGATTTGGGAGCGTCCATAACCAGCCAGGCACTTGACCTTTGATTTTGTTGTTGGAAAAGTCAAGAAAACCTCCATTTTTTGTTCAGTTCTTATGATCTCTAGAAACTCGGTGATACCGCAACCAGACAAGTTTAAAACCCATTTCAATTGTGAAGAAGGATCTGAAACTGAACTCTTGTTTGTGGTTGAAACTTGATTGCCTGAGAGATCCAAACTTAACATTCGTATGTGGTGAAGACTGATAAGATTGCATTCAAATCAATCGTGGTGGTGGTGTTCAAATGGGATATGTCAAGATATTACAGCGACTTGAGACGCGACAAGATGCTAAAGTCAATTGAGCCACTGAAGTTGTTATTGCCAATGCTTAACTCTGTTAGCTTAGATGATGAAGATATATTTCCAAATTCAAAAGTGCCACTAAGTTGGTTTTTTCCCAAACGAAGAGTATGCAAAGAAGGAATGGTGAAGAGTGAGTTAGGAAGTGTGTTTGTGAACCGATTATTGGAGAGTGATCAAAAATGAAAGTTTTGTTAGATTTAATAGTGTAACAGGGAAGCTACCACTAAGCTTATTGTACCCAACATCTAATATGACCAAGTTTGCCAAACTGCCAAAAGAAGATGGTATTTCACCCAAAATGTTGTTATGGCAGAGGTTAAGATAAGTGAGTTGTGAAAGGTTTCCAACAGAAGAAGGAATCAACCCAATAAAATAATTTTCAGCAAGATGGACAGTGGTAAGATTAGAAAAGCTTCCAAGTGAAGAGGTGATTTCACCATCAAAACTGTTATCATAGAGATTGAGATAAGTGAGATGGGGAAGGTTTCAAACCGAAGAAGGAATCCAACCACTAAAATAATTTCCAGAAAGATCAACAGTGGTTAGATGAGAAAGATTTCCAAGTGAAGATGAGATTTCACCATCAAGATTGTTATCAAAAAGGCTAAGATAAGTGAGATGCGAAAAGTTTCCAAGCGAAGAAGGAATCCAACCACTAAAATAATTTCTAGAAAGGTCAAGAGTGGTAAGATGAGAAAAATTTTCAATTGACCATGGAATTTGATCAATGAGATCATTATTTGAACGGTCGAGAGAAAGAAGGCTTTGAACCATAAAAAGTTTGCTATTAGAATGAAACTGGCCATGAAGGCAGCTGATAGCAAG